GACAGTTCTTTGAGCCCCAGCTGTACTTTTACTTGGTCTCTTTATTCACCTTGCATCTTATCTTACCTTCTGATTGCATGTAATACATACTTCTTTAACTCTGCGTGTGCTATCTCCCAGTTGTCCTCAGCAAATGCATCCCATATGCCTTGACAGTTCTTTGAGCCCCAGCTGTACTTTTACTTGGTCTCTTTATTCACCTTGCATCTTATCTTACCTTCTGATTGCCTGTAATACATACTTCTTTAACTCTGCGTGTGCTATCTCCCAGTTGTCCTCAGCAAATGCATCCCCATATGCCTTGACAGTTCTTTGAGCCCCAGCTGTACTTTTACTTGTCTCTTTATTCACCTTTCGTCTTAATTACCTTCTGATCGCTTGTAGTACATACTTCTTCGGCTCTACATGCGCTATCGCTATCTCCTTGACGACCTCAGCAAATGCTTCCCATATGCCTTGAGTAGTTCTTTGAACCCAGCTGTACTTTTACTTGTCTCTTTAACCACCTTTCGTCTTACCTTCTGATCGCTTGTAGTACATACTTCTTTAACTCTGCGTGTGCTATCTCCCAGTTGTCCTCAGCAAATGCATCCCATATGCCTTGACAGTTCTTTGAGCCCCAGCTGTACTTTTACTTGGTCTCTTTATTCACCTTGCATCTTATCTTACCTTCTGATTGCCTGTAATACATACTTCTTTAACTCTGCGTGTGCTATCTCCCAGTTGTCCTCAGCAAATGCATCCCCATATACCTTGAACAACTTCTTTAAAGTCGTCGCCTCGTACTCATCGCTGACTATATTGTTCTTTTGGGCCATCTCAAACAACAACAGAGCAAACTCTCTGTCCTTGTTGTATAAGCTCCCCAACATCATTGCCTCTGTCAATAACCCTGAACCAGACCTCTTGGTGACCGAATTGATATTCTTGGGAACCAGGTTGATGTACTCATTGTACAATTCCAAGGCAGACTCATCGTCAAACTCTGATCTGGCCAAGATTAAAACCAGCAAAACTTTGATTGGAATATCCTCCATGGTCATTAATGTGTGTGCAATCTTCAAGTAGTGCTCGTTGTGTTGCTCCACTGCCTTGTAGCAGAATGCAGCTATTAACTTGTGCTGCACAAGCTCTATGCCAAACTTCTCATGCGCTTGGTAATCGTGAAATTTGGCTAATGCCTCTTGTATATCGTTTCGATCCATTCCGTAAACCTCCATCAACTTGATCCTAACTAGAAGGGACTCTGCAGATTTGTCAAGGTCAAGGTTATTGGTCCTAATATACAGCAAAATGGAATCTGCGAGCGATGAAGCCATCTCAGGAATAGCAATCACCAGATGATCAGAAATAGCTACTCCTTCTGCTCTCAACACTCTTTTCACTTCCAGAATGTTTCCGTTATCCACTTCACCGGTATCCTGTCCGTTCCTGGCAGACTCTACTCTGGTGAGTGCCTTGCATATACTTTCTTTGTCTACTAATTCAGGACTCTCCCTGAAAACTTTGTTAAACAATTGAACGTAGCTCTCATCGTCAACTTCAAACTCATTACCCGAGATAACCTTCAAGATTTGTTCATTACTGACCCCACTCCAGTAGAGTGTCGGTATACACTTATACTGGATCGCCAAGCGAATAATTTCAACCAGAGATTCGAGTGTGACATTGTCTACTTTCGTGCTGACATAGATGGCCCTCGCAAGTCTATTAACACTCATTTCTATATCACTGTCTCTGATCTCAACCTTCTCTCCAAATAAAAGCTTTTCTAGCAAAATTTGATAAAGAAGGCTATCAGCAGCGTCTGAATTAATATTGCTACCGTCTATATACTTCTTATATAAATCCCATCCTTGGTCAACTCTACCAGGATTAGCCTCTATCAATTTCGCAAGCGAATCCGTAGTCCAACTATGACTACCCTTCTTCACTGTAAAATACAAAGAATAGTCATGTGGAAGTCCATGGATCATAAATTGATTGATCAAATCAACCTTATCATCCTTGGAAAGGGCAGCATGGTTCTGAACTGTCTTCACAATGTCATGAACTAGTTCACCGTTCTCATCGCTGCTACTGAATTTTTCAAATGCAATAGGTATAGTCTGAAGCAACTTCTGCTTACCCTGGAAACTAGGTTCATGCGATAACTGCTTGTGTAGCTCAGCAATACTGGAATAGAGCCTTCTATTGAACCTTGTCAAGCTGAACATCTTGCTTGTTATATCAATCACTTTAAAGGAAGAAACAACTTCAAAGTCACGAATTCTTTGATGTCCATAGTGAAAAAGTCGCACGCATATCGAGTACTCTACGCTGGAACCATTCACCAAGGCATCTGCTACTCTAAGCTAAGGCATCTACTATGCTGGACCTAGAAACTAAGGTATCTACTACATTGGAACCTTTCACCAAGGCATCTCCTACATTAAATCTTCACTAAGACGTCTACTACCTGGAACTTACAATTAAGACAACTACACTATTTAACTATCTAACACACATTTATTGTAGCTCTTTATATATCTATTTCAAACTCTACTCATCTGTCTTTAACTCTTTCTCCATAAGCGACAACATTCCTAAACCATCGAAATAGTTTTCCCATTTATCCTCTACCTTGATATCTTCTAGCTCTGAAAAGTCAAAACTGTCACCAATGTACTTGTCGTAGTCCAACCATTTGCCCTTCTTTTCACAAGCATATCCCCAGCTGGCCTTAAATGCACCTCCGAGGGCACAAGAGTTAGGGATATCTACCCTGGCGTTACCACGTTGACTTCCAAGTATAGAGCCCATTTGGCTTACTATACTCGTATTCTTCAGTGCTCCACCTACAAAGTAAACTTTCTGTGGTCTTGCACTCAATGTTTTGATTGTATGCTTCTTCCCATCGGTCGAAATCTCTCCAAACTTGGAAATCACATCTTCGATAGTTCTTTTGATATTGGCAAATTCTTCACCATCATCTTTTCCTTCAGATGCTAACATTGGACCCAATCTAGCTCTACAACTCAAAGTTTGTCCTTCAACGATACAAGATACATCTTCATCGATTTCCCACTTGTCTACATCTACCAACTTCTTCTTTTCTTCATCGAACGTGCTCCTCTTGACTTGTGCAGCGGCATTGGGCACAATCTCGCCCAAAGGGAAATAAATACCTAATTTGTGGTCAAACTGAGTGTTGGCGTTCAAGATTTCTTCAAACTTTTCCCAGCTTTCCTTTGGCTGCTTATACTTTTCGTTCAATTCATTTCTCACCTTTTCTCTTGCCAAGGAACCATTACAGTAGCAGATCATACCCATGTAGTGGTCTGGCATTGTAGGATGCTTGAACATGTGATATTGGGACAGTGGAACAAAATTCTTAGTAACAAGTAAAACTGTAGTGGAAGTACCTAATGATACCAAGATATCGTTTTGGTTTAACGGTAAAGACAAAATGGTAGCCAAGTTGTCCCCTGTAAACGAAAATATTTCAGTTGTATGTGAGAACCCGTACTTCTCTACGAAATAGTTGCAAATGGCGCCAGACAGCTTGTAAGTCACTGGCTCGATTTCTCCCAACTTTCTTCTCAATTCATCGCTGCCCGTCTTGCTGGTGTTAGGATCAGAGCCATCTTCACCCTGGTGTACGCCAGCTGCCAAACTTAACAATTCTTCACTATATGAATTGGTATTTATATCATACAAATTCATACCACAGCCGTCTGCTTCTTCGATATTTGTGATCTCTCCCAACAAAACACTGGCTACAAAGCTAGAAACAAGTGAGATTCTATCAGTTTTCTTGTATACTTCAGGCTGGGCCCTAGCAATTTTCCTAATTTGTAAACCTGTAAACCTGTAGTGGGCTCTAGAACCAGTCAAACTCGCCAAATCCTCAGCACCACCTACAACACGCTCGAAGGTAGCAAGCTCCTTCCCAGTGGAATGGTCTTGCCAATTTGGAGAAGTCTCAAGGGAAAAGGATGACGAAAGATGTTCAGCCAAGCCCTTCTCCAAATCAATCCCACCGTCTCCACTATCCTTTTTTAACAGCGCGAGCTCTGTTGTGCCCTTTTCGCTCCAATATACACTTCCGTGTTGCTGGCAAGAGCCAGAAATCCCCCTAACGTTTTCCAACGGAACTCCCGCTTCTTTCATCTGTTGGAAAACATAATCAATACTCTCCAACCACATCGCTACCGGAGAAACAATTTCGCCGGTTTCTTGATTGCTTCTAACTCCACTTTTCACTCCATATTTTTTTCCATAAACCTTGTCAAACTCAACATGAAAAGACTTTAAGTGCTTTAAATGTTCATTAGTCACAATAATCTTCAACTGCTGAGTGGAAAGGTCGAACCCGAGGAACAAGTCCCCCTCAAAATTCACCATCTTCGTTGTTTTCTTCCTTTTCGTCCGCGAAAAAGCTCAATTGCACCCAACTTACTGGATTCTGATTATATCTATGCCAGCTTGGTAATACAACTAGAAAGATCACAACCAATCCAGCACCAAATGTGTATACAACGTGTTCAATCCTTTGAGTAATGAATCCTACAAGCACGGAAAGAACGGAAATTATTTTCAAGGCAAAATCAGTGTATTCTTGTACCAACTGTTGCCCTTTAAAGTCAATTGGAAATTCGAGAAACAGGAGTATGTCGTCCATTTTAACTATAGCAAGCTTATCACCTGTTGGTACAACAAGAGAGCTCAGTTGATTTTTTTTTTTTCATGTACACGTCAGACGTCGGATAAATTTATGCAGCAAACGATGCGTGCAGTTTCCCCCACGCATGCTGAGCATTACGATGCGCCTGGGGAAATCACCACATAAGCTGGAGATAAATGCACACCTGGAGTAAGCGATTGGTAATGGAGGCAGTATTCCGTGTTCTTCCAGGCAGGCTAAGTGGGAGTACTCGACAGGCTAAACTCGGGCGAAATCCGGTAACTGGATCGTTTCTGGAACGGTCATCTATGGTTCGCAGCCAAGAAGATGGTGGCCATGCGTGGAAAAGGGAGGGCGTCAGACCGGAAATGACATACATTCGAGGTGGCCCCCTTTGTTGCACGGAAGATACTGGGCAGGTGTCCTGCTAGAGTATAGACCTTCCAGCCATACTATCCACGGATGGTGGAAGAGACGGGTGGTGAGAGGGACTACTCTCGGAGGAGGGTTATGGCACTCAGTAGCTGCAAAAAAGCGAATTTTCTTGCACTTTAAGAGACACACTCTCAGAGACACCGCTGCTACTCCTAGTATCTCTCTCTACTTACATATAATATATACAATACTCCTACAGCCCGTGTTCATCAGTTCATGAATATAATAATATCGTAATTCGTTAAATAAATAATAAAGGTTTCCAGTTTGCTTGCGCAAATTAAATAAGTTAAGATAAATCTTGTTGGGTTTGGACGTAATAGTTCATATCATTGTCTATCAATTTTTCTTCCAAAAAATCAGTAACCATATTGTATTGATCCTGCTTCAATATGGAGTGGAACTTCTCGTTAGGGCTCAACTTATCAAAGGTGAACCCAGTGATATGCAGCAGGTCTTCTGATTCCATCTCGTTGTAGTTTGGAAGGTTATAGAAATTGTAAGGTTGCTCTTTGAACATGGAAAAGGACGACGCTCCTATAATGTTCTGCAGCTTAGATCTAGGCTCGGTAAGCAAAAAGGAAGAGTTGTTTGTAGAAACCGTAGTAGATCTCGTGAGTGATGTCATAAGTGATTGTTCACCATCTGTTTCCGAAGGAGACGTCGTTCTAGACAAGAAGGGTGAGTCCTCTTCTTCCTCTTCATGATGGTCATCGTCTTCAATGTCATCGTTGTCAAGATTGATAAAGTTCAAGAAGTCTTGGTCATCACCGACATCTTCTTCCTCATCCCTTTCAACCAAAGGAAGGTTCCTCAAGTCATTTTCGAGGAAGTTGTGGAGAAGAAGCGTTGGTGGGTTGTGCGACAAATCGTTCATATTATCGATCAACTCAACCATAGGATCGGACGTTGTGTGGAGTTCGGTGAAGGACCTCTTCCTAGCAGTATGAACCGAATCATCCTGAATAAGGTGGTGGTGGCTTTCGCTATTAGTCTCGGAAAGTACCGCATTTCTGAGATGTTTATAGTCATGTATAAGTGAAAGTAAGTGGTCCTTGAGAACAGAATTTTCTGACTCAATCAGCGATATACTCTTGTTCAATGTTGCCTGCATCCCGCTATTGCTAGAGATCACTTTTACTGAAGTGTTTCCCGCTTGTGGAGAAGTAGCTGCTGGACTAGCCGTAGCGTTTGTCTTTGCACCGGTAGCACCCATACTCGTAGTTGCGTTTACGCATGAGATTACATTTGGGCTTATGCATTGGCTTGCATTGACAGAATTGACACTTCCGACTGACTGCGTGGGTTTAGGTTTTGTCTCTTTTTTGCATTTACTTTTTTTTTCTTTTTGACATACGGCCCCAGATGCTTGACTCGTTGTAGGTTTTCTCCCTGGTTTGGGCCTAGGAGGCAATACCCATGCCTTCGACGTTTTAACCGTCAATGGACATGTGCTTTGGGATTGTGACATAATTTTATATAATGAATAATTGCATGTAGTATGTGTGGGTGTACGAGTGTTGCTGAAATATAATGAAGATGACGATCGGGTAATATAGTTAATTCAATTGAATAGATAGGTCACTCGACTACAGGAGTTTGGTTGTTTATAGGTATTGTGTGTATGTTGAATAGGTGGTTACGCCCTTGTTGATTGAACACTTCTCGATTGCTTTCCAACGGGCACTAATTGCCTTCTAAGGTTTGACAATGTGCTGTGGTCGGGTCAAAGGTGTCCCTCTCCAAATTAGGTACAAGGAAAAAAACAAAAAGTTTTGAAAAATAGTTTCACTGCTAATTTCTAATGGGAATATACCACACTAATATAGAATAACCTCTTCCTATGGATAATGAAAAGTCAAACCACGGCCCGGAAAGAAAAATAACTTTTAAATATAATGGAATAAAAACTTTTTATTATTATTATTATTGAAATTTTTTTGGGTTAAATGGTGTTAAGCAATAAAGTAACCTAAAAAAAAAAAAAAAAAAAAGTAGAGTGAAAAATAACCAAACCGAGAGATGCGGGTATTGATTCGCCTTTAAAGGTAATGCAACTTAATATAGCACTCTTTGGAAAATATCTTATTGCTGTAATCCCAATTAATGAAATTGCCTTCCCCTAATCCAGAATTATTCAGTGTACTTATACTTTGTTCCCTCTTCACATAAAAAAGAAAGGAGAGAAAGTAAACACCACTTATCACATATCTCTGCGGATCATGGGCAAGCTAGAGAATTTCACTTCGCGGCCAAGCAACCAAAAAAATATTTCGGTTGTTTTCGGAAGGAGCGAAGACCTGGTAGAAAGGCTTTTAGCATGTTGTCTCGTAATATGTTTTCTTTCACATCCTAGTGGCTAAAACCCGGATGTAGCGCAAGGAACCAATCGGGAAATTCTCAAGTGTGAAAAATCACGAATTGCTAAACTCATGCTAGGCTGCTACAGTGTACAGTGGATTTTGTCCAGATAGGAAATATACAGGAGCTGAGTAGCTCAGAAGTTAGTGGTGCTCGGTAATCTTCCAATATTACCCTTAGAGCGAGGCAGCAGCGCTAGCCAGAGTGCGGCGTTAGGCTTTAGCTTTCCGAAGAAGAAGGGCCTTTACGGGTGGTGAACTCAAATGCTAGTTTAAAAATAAAAATCATCGTGACCTAAAAGGATTACAATGCATTGAAGCTAGACGTTACCGCACATAACCCCTTGTTTTACTGAACAATTCATCACTTTCCACTATGGCTAAGACTAAAGCGGGCCTACAAAAAAAATTTATGCATATGCACTAGCCATAATTACTATAGGCTCTTTTCATATAACCAAAATAAAATTCCTCAAAATAGAAGAAAAAGGCTCGGTTCGAACTTTGTAAAATGATCCGATTTACTGGGATGCTGGGGTATTACTCTGGGGAACTCAAACAGATTTGTATCGATGACTTTGGTGTAATTTAAACTTCTACTGTGCTGTGGTACAAGTTTACTACAAGATGTGGGAGCTCTGCTATTTTCTTAGCTTCAGTCATCCACTTACCCATCGTTCTCAGTGGCCAGCGGCATTACATGTCCAGCACGGATGGAAGGGCACCTAATTCCTCTACGAGTCATGTCCTCGAAAAAGTTCGAAAAAGAAATAATTTTTTGATTACATGCAGACGCGGTGTGCGTGACTCCTGCAAAGACATGCATATCGTGCATTGTGCAGGAGAGCCCATCTCTATGGAGATCCGGGGATAAGTTGTAGAATGTCGTATGGTTATTTATTTTCACCTTGTCTTTCGAAAGGTATTAAGCTCCATTTATGACGATATACGTTGCATATTCCCTGTCATTTTACTCTGACTTGAAAATCCGCCGGGCCCGACCCGATTGCTTACGTGTAATAAAGTATTGCTATGGAAAATAGCCTTTATAAATAAAAAGTTCTTGTATTTTCCTGTAACGAATTATTTTGCTAGCTATGTAACGTTGTACTAGTATCAATTGACAAGTAAGATACCGCTTTTCGATCTCTTTATGCTTGAAATTAAACTCAGTATCTATTAATGTGGTAACCTATGCTAAAATAAGCGACGTATATTCCTATTGTTGCGGCTCAATTTCATGGGGAAACTGAATATTTTTTGGCTGCGAAATGCTCCTAGACTAGGCACTTACTCTTGAGTTGGCATCGAGGTTGATGGCTTCAAATCTTCAACGAGTTCAGTTCTCCATAAGGAAGTGATTGTCTTTGGCTTAGTTAAAAAGGTGATACCTGCTTGACCGTAGAAGTTCAAGTCACCTAAGAATGATCCTCTGCTACCAGTGAATGAAAACATTGGCAATGGAACAGGGATTGGTACGTTAATACCAACTTGTCCACAGTCAATGGTCTTGTTGAATAATTGTGCAGCAGCACCTGATTGTGTGAAAAGTGAAACACCATTTCCGTACTTGTTGTTGTTGATAAGTTGAACGGCTTCTTCGATAGTATCAACATTTACAACTGATAAAACAGGAGAGAAAATCTCTTCGTCATAAGCACGAATTCCGGGCTTACAGTTTGCTATGATAGTTGGTCCCAAGAAGTTACCCTTGGCGAATTTACCTTCTCCTTTGAAACTTCTACCGTCGAGTAAAAGCTCTGCACCTTGCTTCACTGAATCGGCAATAATCTCGTGAGATCTTGTTAAAGATTCTGGGTTGATGAGAGGACCAAGGTCTGATGATGAGTCGAATCCCGAGCCTACTTTCAACTTCTTTGCATCTTCAACTATATCTTTAACCCATTCCTTGGTTACTGGGCCAACTGTGACCAAAACAGAAATTGCCATACATCTTTGACCAGCTGCACCGAATGCAGCACCATTGATAGCGTTGACAAACTGGGCCTTGTCAGCGTCTGGGAGAACAACAAGATGGTTCTTAGCTCCCAAGTTAGCCTGAACTCTTTTTCCCAAGGAAGTACCCTTCTCATATATGTATTTACCAGCCTTATCACCCCCAACGAAGGTCAATGCCTTCACTCTAGGATCTTCAATAATTTTGTTAACTGTGTCGTGCTTTCCGTGAACCATTTGAACAACACCCTCTGGAACTCCAGCTTCAGCACATAATTGTGCAATGATCATGGCTGCTCCAGGGACTCTCTCTGATGGCTTTATGACAGCAGTGTTACCAGTAACAAGAACCAATGGAAGGGACCAAAGTGGGACCATGGCTGGGAAGTTGAATGGACAGATAGATCCAATAACACCCAATGGTTCTCTGATCATTTTCGTTTCCATATCTTTGGCAACTTCTAGGGTCTGTCCCTTCAAGTCGTTGGTGATGTTACATGCAGCTTCGGCCACCTGTAAACCTCTTAACACATCTCCCTTGGCATCTGCAAAGGTCTTACCTTGCTCCAACACAATTACCGAGGCAATTCTGTCCATGTTTTCCCTAAGTAACTGAACAAACTTGAAAGCAATACCTTGTCTCTTGATAATGGAGTAATCTTTCCAAACATGGAAAGCCTTATCAGCAGCAGCGATAGCATCCTCCAATTCCTGCGGAGTGTTCTGTGGGACCTTCAGGACAACTTCATTGGTAGCTGGATCGCGGATATCGAACCAAGTCTGTGAATCTGACTTAACAAACTTGTTGTTGATGAACGATGGGGTCAAGTACGGTTGGGTGTTTGGTTGCACGTGACCTGTGGGGTACTGGGATGTAGTAGATGAAAGCTTTATAGTAGAGAGTAATCTCTTTAAGCCAAGCTGTTGGGAACGGCGCAACATTGTGTATGAGATTCGTAGATTCCTCGCTAATAGAAAAAAGTATTAAATAAATCTTCTTCAACCCTTTTTCACATCTGTTTGCTCTCTTTATAAAAGCTTTCCACCGGTTGCCCAGATCCGTGGAGATTTGAAAAATTATGTTGCTAGATCACATGATCCTCTAGTTGATACCCGGAATTTAAACCTTGAAAAGTTGGGGTAGCGGAACAATTGAGCAGAAGAGTGGGTGTCAATGGACGAACCCCACTTACGACCTTCGGATAGAGTTTGCATCTGTTGGATTTCTTAACACCGTGAGGTTCAGACCTCAGTGCTGCTACTAACAGGTAGCAGATCGTGAGAGCTCTCTCTTTGTATTGCAAGCTACACCTAGGATCCTCTCTGGTAGTGGACAGGGAATACCTGCTCGATTGGGAAAGGCTGTATGCCGGAAGCGGCTAACACGAGCTCTTCGAGGATTTGGAAACCCGCTACCTGCTAGCTGTGGACAGAGATCAGCACAGCTGCAAATGGAAGGAGTAGGGTATCCGTAGAAGCTAGCTGGCTGGCCGTTTGGCCGCGACTCAGAGCTAGCCTGCAGACTTCTACTATGCTCTCTTACTGAGCTCGAAAAATGGATAGTGATTAGTGCCAATACTTCGGGTGCACGGGTGTTATTCTTAATCAAGCAGTTGCACACGCGATTCGATTTGGAAGATGTTTGGTTCCGTTCATCGATAGTGATCGGAATAACCTCGATCTCTCCAGGTAGTGGTATGCCAGCTCTCTGCAGGCCCTTCTGAGCTGATTCCGTCGCTTCTGTACTGATTTTAACGTATTGTGGGACTGAGCCTTATTCCGTCTCTTTCTCTATTCTCTCGAGTGTGTATCTAGGCTAGCGAAACCCATAGCCTCTTTCCCCTCCATGGCTGCAGAATGTGTATACGTGCTGTTTGGACCTTAAGACTCAGCTTTGACTTTCCGTCGAGGAATTTCGTCAACTTCACAATGTTCATGCTTGAAAGCTAAGATGCAGTATAATTAGATATATCTCATTTCACTAACCTATGTTCTTCACAGAATCCGCAGAACGAGCATAAAACACACTACATCACCATCTCAGTATCCTCCGACCAACGCCCAGCGCACTTCTATCCAAAATGCCCCATCACATTGAGAACCTCCCACCTCTACCACCACCCCAAAAGCCCCCAACCTACCCCATCTACCCACACAACCTTCACATACTTCCCAATTTTGTGTATTTGCACCCAATCTGCTCCACACTATTATTAATCGCATCTCGCCTGCATATAACTGAAAAATCTTTCCCATACAAAAATATTCCGTTACAGAGCCAGAGGAACTCCACCACATTGGTACTTACCGAAAGCAGCAGTTATGATAGATTCAGCCCTCTTGTACTTAGCCTGCAGTCTTCTTTATATAACCTCCGGAGGAAGGTGGTCAGTGGTGGTAGCAACAGGTACGTTCTTCCTTATCCTTGCGACCGACAAGGATGCCAGGGTCCAACCAATCAAGGCGCCAACAAGTAAGCCTGTACAGCCAAAGCCAAAGAAGGAATCTCCCATTTACGCCATAGATTTCACTACGCCATCGGCTGTTTCTTCGTCCCCAGTTGTTGCTGCACCCAAGCCCATCAGATCAAGAGCGAAAAGATCTCCCAAAATCATCAGAGGTGGTAAACCACCTTCACCCACCAGCACGCCTCTCATTCCTCAGCTCACATCATCTCCAGTCAAGTTGCTCCAGTCCCAGATCTACATTTTCTATACCACATTGACAGGATCGTCACATAGAGTCGCCAAGAACTTGTGTGACAAGTTAACTGCATTACCAGACTTAGAAAGGAAGCCAAAGTTGTTGTCATTGGACGATGACCTAGATGACTTGGAAGAGTACTTTATGAGGACTCCTGAATCCTCGGACTCGGACACAGTAAAGAACGTCTATTTGCTTGTTTTACCATCCTATGAGCAAGATTCTCCTATCGATTACTTCTTGGAGCACTTAACAGATACATACAACGACTTCAGAGTGGACAAGTACCCATTGAAGGCATTACTTGGGTTTGCTGTGTTGGGTCTAGGAGATTCTGAGTCCTGGGGCGAGAGCGACAAGTTCTGTTACCAGGCCAAGTTGGCTGACAGATGGCTCGGAAAGTTAGGTGGAAGAAGACTTTTCCCAATGGGGAACATTTGCATGAAGTTTGAAGGTGAGCCTAAGGCCAATGAGTGGATCCAAGGGTTTGCTTCGTTGATGAACGACGACGAACCAATATACATGGAGGAAGCTGAATTGGATGACAGTGACGCCGAAAGCGAAAGCGGATCCGAAGAAGATGGAGAGACCTTGGTCGATGTTGAAGATATGGGTAACATAATGGGAAAGCAGCAGCAGCAATCATCCACTTCCTCTGGAAATTTCGTCAAGGAAATGGTCGCTAAGGATTCACCGACATATAAATCTCTCACGAAGCAGGGTTACACTATAGTAGGATCGCACTCAGGGGTGAAGATATGTCGTTGGACCAAGAGTGCCTTGAGAGGCCGTGGTTCATGCTATAAGTTTGCCTTCTACGGGATCAAGTCTCACTTATGTATGGAAACAACTCCATCATTAGCATGTTCCAACAAATGTGTGTTCTGTTGGAGACACGGGACTAACCCTGTAGCAAAGCTGAATTGGAGATGGGAATTAGATCCACCTGAAAAGGTTTTTGAGGGTGCTTTACAAGGACATTACCAAAAGATCAAACAAATGAGAGGTGTACCAGGTATTCAATTGGACAGATTCCAAGAAGCTTTCAAAGTCAGACATTGTGCATTGTCCTTAGTTGGGGAGCCAATATTTTACCCATACATCAATGAATTTGTGGGAATGCTCCACAATGACCATATCTCATCATTCCTTGTTTGTAATGCTCAACATCCTGATCAATTGGCGAAATTGCACAAGGTGACTCAACTCTATGTCAGTATCGATGCTCCTACGAAGACTGATTTGAAAAAGGTTGATAGACCATTGAACAGTGATTTCTGGGAGCGTCTCATTTCCTGTTTGGACATTTTAAGAACCACCCAGGCTCACCAGCGTACCGTTTTCAGATTGACCTTGGTGAAGGGCTTTAATATGACCGATGTAGAAAGCTACGCTGATATGGTTGAAAGAGCTCAACCCTCACAAATTGAAATCAAAGGTGCCACTTTCTGTGGTTCTTCCAATGGTAATGGAAACCCTTTAACCATGCAAAATATCCCGTTCTACGATGAATGTAAAATATTCGTCGAAAGCCTTGCTGAAGAATTACAAAGAAGAGGACAAGACTACGAGATTGCTGCTGAACATGCTCATTCATGCTGTATATTAATGGCTCATACTAAATTTAAGATTAACGATATATGGCACACCCACATTGACTATCCTAAGTTTTTCGAATTGTTGGAGAGTGGAGAAGATTTTGTCGACTTAGACTATGTTAAGCCAACCCCACTGTGGGCTGTCTGGGGCAGTTATGAAGCTGGTTTCAACCCTGAAGATACCAAATTCGACAGAAAGGCTGAAAAGTTGAAAAACAAGATCAAAAGAGAAGAGGAAAAGGAGATTAAAGAGGTTTGTATATAAAGTAATATACGAGAGTAAAGAGCACATAAGAACTGATTAGATTACTGTGATGCCTCGATTAACCTGAAGTCAGTCATCGACATAAATACTACTAATTTTTCAATTCTTTTTAAATTTTTATCATTTCGTAAAGAGCCTCTTACGTTTCAGTAGCCAACAACCCTCACCATGTAATATTCAGAAAACCATAACACCTTATGTCAAAGAACCTATACCCACTTCCCTCTACTCATCCGTAGTCTTTCAAGTCTACACCTTTCTCATCAGAATTTTCAGCCTCTATTTTCCGGAGCACGTCTAAAAAAAGCCTAAATACGGACACTTCAAAGACAAAAACCTTTCTCACCGATATCTGCAGCCCCTCTTATACGGAACACGTATATGAAAAATCAAAATATGGACACTTTCATGAGCAGAACTCCTTTGATCTACACAGTTTACCTTCCCTAAGCACTCGTAAAGTCACAAGTACTCATGTCGAAGTATAACAAGAAGATAGCCTTCATCCACCCCGATTTGGGGATCGGTGGAGCGGAGAGATTAGTAGTTGATGCTGCAATGGGGCTCCAAGAACTAGGAAACGATATTACAATCTACACTTCTCACTGTGACAAATCACATTGCTTTGAAGAAGTCAGTAATGGTGATTTAGATACTGTTGTTTATGGTGATTTCTTGCCTACAAAGTTAGCTGGAAAATTCCATATTTTATTTGCTATTTTAAGACAATTTTACTTGACGTTTAAGCTTATCGTTACTGGTGAAATCTTACAGTACGATTACTTTATCGTGGACCAGCTTTCTGTGTGTGTTCCTTTGCTAGAATTGTTTGCCCGTAAAGACCTGTTTGTATTGTTCTACTGCCACTTCCCGGATCAATTGCTTTCCCAAAAGGGTAGTATATTGAAAACTATATATAGATATCCATTCAATGCCATCGAGGAATGGACCACCGGCTTGAGCGACAGAATCGTAGTGAATTCCAATTTTACCAAGTCTATTTTCCATAAGACTTTCAAAAACTTGGCTAAAGTAGACCCTGGTGTCATATATCCATGCGTAGATGTACAGAGCGCTCAATCAGACGTTGAAGCCGATGTCGAAGTTAGACAATTCATGAAGGGAGGAAGATACTTCCTTTCTGTTAATAGATTTGAAAGGAAGAAGGATATCGCTATTGCTATACGAGCTTTTGCCAAATTTAAGGATGTTTACAATGAACGTGAAACTGATACTACCAATGCTAATAAGCCCAGGTTGATTGTCGCCGGAGGGTTTGATCCGAGAGTTTCAGAAAATGTTGAATACTTAAGAGAATTGACTACATTATCTGAGCTGTTAAACCTCAAGCCCATTACTATGAGAGGAAAGCTCTTAGTTTTGCCTCCCTCTACAGATGTTCTCTTCTTGCCCTCCATAAAATCGTCAATAAAGACGTCCCTTATCAAAAAGTGTGAACTTTTACTATATACCCCATCTTTTGAACATTTTGGTATAGTTCCCGTGGAGAGTATGTTGTGCCAAGTACCAGTTGTTGGAACCAACACTGGTGGGCCCTTGGAATCGATTGTAAACTATGACTTTACTAAAGAAAGCTTAAATGCTGGAGCCACTGGATATATCAGCCAGCCAGATGCAGACTTGTGGGGTGGAATCTTGGTCAAGCATTACTTTGAAGTTGCTGACGATGTTAGAGAAATCTTAGGTTCAAACGGATTAACAAGGGTCAATAAGTTGTTCCTGAGAGTTGAAATGAGCAAGGCATTTTGGGATAATTTAATCAAATCCCAAAAGGGTGATAAAGGTTTCGTTTTTAATATATTGAAGTTATGGAAGGTGAACGTTTTAATATTATTATTGGCTACTTCACTAGGAGCTTACAAGTTGACCAATTGAATAATTTGGCTCTCGGTATATATTAGCTTTTTTATAGATCTTACTCAATGACAAACCTACAATTGACGAATGAAAATTATTTAACAAGTATGTTACTTAGATATGTACAAGTGGCAATAAATAGATGTCATATATAGTGTTATTTTCTCAATACCAAAGATTTCACGGCCTTTATAAATCCAAAGCTCGGAGCTTCTGACTCAATGGAAGCCTTGTTCATTAGAACAGCCCGTTCCCTCTCATTCCTCTGTTGAAGTACAATGTCAAGGTTACTCAACACACGTGAGTACAGCGCTTTCAATTCGTCTTCTAGTACCAATTTCCACTTGTGAAAATTGGGAGAAGGAGATGATAAATTGTAAGTGGTGATTTTCATATTTATGTCCTTTATGGAAGGTTGAAGGAACCTTACTTTGAAGTTATGATAGTCAGAATCGAATAGCGTCTCAGACGACAGGTTCTGATACTTAGTCCTCACTACTTGAACCAATTCTTCTTTTGATAAATATGCATACTTTTTATCCAAGATTTCTACAGCTTTGATACTCCAGGATTTGTCGAGATCAAATCTTAATCTTTCAATGTCCCCGTTTACACCCTTTTGACTCTCAATCCAAGGTGGCAAGCATTCTTCCTTCTGTAAGATTTGATTCATAAAGTAGTTTGTGTCAGTACAATTTGCCAAGTGTTCTTTTGAAAGCGGCTTACCTCTAACAGAATCCATGTTTTCATGACCTTCAAATTTTCCAGTCTTTCTATCAATTTGTTCATTTATCCTAACATCTGCCATGGAAGTGATAAGCCCTATTCCAGAAGATGAACTCATGGAATTCATAAACATCATGGGACCTAGAAGACGCTCTTTATAGAGCTCTTTGAACTTCTCATCTTCAGTATTGTTTGACTTTGCCTTATCCCCACCACCATCTTGAGATATCCTTGATAGCCTATAGTCTAGACTTTCCTCTTTCGCATTGTGGATTCGTTCTCTGATGGGAGTAGGTGGCGTAATGATTCTTCTCTGGCTCAACTTCTTCGGAGCAGTATCTATGATCATCCGCAAATTAGCATCTCTTACAGTTTCAGTACCGTTCCATGCTGGGGTAGATACTGTATCAGCTATTTCCCTTGCATGTTTGTTTCTGGCTAGCAAATCTTCCAGCTTTAGGTATGAGATTTCGGACTGGTAATCGTTATTGAAGGTTATACCAGCGGAATCCTGGCTATACTTGTCCAATATTTTGGTGATATCAGGATTATTCCTAATGGAAGACATGGAGGATGAATCTATATTTGATTCCAAGAGAGAGGTGAATCGATCGTGAAGTGCAGATGGTGGCGTTGCAGATGGTTCATCGCTCTTGTATCTTCTACTCAAGTACTGTTTGCTACTTCCCGGAAGTCTGAATAATATGTTTACGGTCCTCCTTCCATGCATGTTGCATACATCCACTCTATATTTCTGCCAATGCGGTACTTTCCCAGCGTCTATAGTCTATGCTCCTACTAGTGTGGTACTTCTGTAGCGCTTACGCAAGTGTACCTTTGGCGCTCTACTTCCTGTCCCAGATCGACCCGCATTCATATCGCTATGCTTACGAAAAAATAATTCTGCTACAGCGTATCGCTATGTCTTTCGATGCAACGTTTATTCTCTATAAAACCACCACTCCACCTATAACAATTCTAAAGACCACCTTACCTGTGCGTGAATTTCTCCTCACGTCAATCACAGGCCAAAAACCATGTAAATACCCCGTTCCAACTAGGAAAGTTGCACCATGTCTCACAATTAATAATAATAGTAATTTTTTTTTTTTTATTATTTCATTTACACTCTATGCTAAGAAGGCTACAACGCATAGAAAATAAGCACCGAACACCCCAGCACTACAGCACAGAGAAACAACAACTTCAATACAAATCCGCAGACATATTCACGTTTACCGCCCGCAGTAAGTATAAGTTGCTTTTCCAAATCAACATCGTCCATGAGATGGACCTTTCCCTTGGAAGAAGGCTTGTAGGCGTCCTGCAGCTTCAAATCATTCAATACGTCATTGTTAACCGATTCATTCAGTGTCACGGAAGATATAGATAATGAGTGGTTTCTTTTTGGATCTGGCGTTACCACGGTTGGCACCACGATAGAGGCCGATCTGGATCGACTGGGTGTTGACTTCGAGCTTATTGAGCTGTTTCTATTAGGTCTAGGCATACTGTATATATGGTAAAAATAGTCAAATGATAGTTAGTGAGTGCAGATACTACTAAAATGGTAACTAATAAAATTTAACTGTACACTCGAAAAGAAAAGTATACCAGGCTCTTTTATATATTTCTATGGACTTCTGGCACTATATATAGAATGACATAAACAAAAAACCTCCCCAATAGCAAATAGAGTCACTCCTTGAGTTTATTTATAAAAGGTTTTTTTTTTTTTTGATGATTATTTTTTATTTTTTTATTGGTAATTGCGGAGTATCGCTTGGTGCCAAATAATTCTGATTTGGGGGATGAGCGTCGCCGTGCGTGGTGAGAAATTAATTAGGAACTCGTGAGCACCTGGTCTCTTTATTACACGTTAAAGAAGTACAGCTACGCTAGTTCCTAGCAGTCGATACAGTGGTTGTATTACTTCGTATGGTCTCTTGCAAGGATCTCTATGACTTAACACGTACTATTTTTAGGATCCCACAATCATGTGTGTTCTTAACACTTGTTCTCCTTGCATCTGTCACTTTGACGAAAGGAGCAATTTTTATGCCTCAGTTCGGTGATACACCGAGGTGTAAGGATGTGTTTAGAGAAGTTTTAGCGTCGCCTTAAATTTCGAGGCGCTGTTATCAAGTGCTACGCTAAAAAAAAAGATTATGATACTCCTTCCTTACAACTTAACCATACAGACATGTTTTCGTCATACGGCTTTGGCATTCTTATCTTGAGACATCTGCCACCAGAATAAGGCCAAGCAAACCAAAATAACCATACGAAATTCAAAAGAGTGCTCTCAGCTACAAAATAAACTTTAAAATCGCTGGATGTGGTTATTAGCATTATACTGTGAACCACCGCCTGCTGCATTCTAGGAACAGCCCAAATATACGAAAGATGTAGCTCTTCAGCAAAATTGTACCAGCTCTATCTTGCAAAATTGAATAATTCGATCCAAACCAAGGCTTCTACTGTCTACTTCTAGCCCTTCCTCTGCCCATGTAAGCCTACCAGATCGAACATTTCGCTAGGCACCCATGCGCAACATTGCAACAGACCCGCAGCTTATGTAAGCACTTCATAGCGCTAACTTCCCAAATGCCTAAACCGCTCCAGCTGAGGTACTCGGCTATACTATTACAGTTTCCCTAGAAAGCTCGTTTTAGAGTTTCCAGCTATGCCCCGTATCCCTTTATGCTATCAGTCGATCACCGTTTATCTATTCACAGACCTTGCTTTCTACAAATACCAGTATCCTTCCTGCGCTTTCATCCTGCCTGCTCACCACTCTCTCGCTAATCACACTACACTCACACCTGCATACACCCTTTTGTGTTAATTTGCAATGGTGTTCATTATCTCCCGCAAAGTTTAAACTTGATTGATGGATTTTTTACGCTATCATTGCTTGTTGGATAGTTCTATTTTACACTAGATAAATTATCAAATAAGGACCTAGAACATGTGGTTATTCGATTGGTGTATGTATACGCAGAAACTCAGCTTTTTTTCAGGGGTCTAGGACGATTTGTAGCTGGCAAGTTGCCTCTTGAATTTTTTCACCATTTGTTTGGCAGCTTCCAGCACCTATCTTCGTTGGAAGACGAAACTGATTGCAGTGATTTCAAGGTAGTATCAGGCGATCTTGTTCTAACAGCTCTCTTCTAAAAATATGATCTGTAGACCGCGCGGACGTTGTTCAATTGGATGGTACTGTTAAAGGGGCGAGATAGCAACACTTCAATTACCCGAGGGTGGCCCTCGCCGTATGGAAAAATATTATACAGACCAAAAAATGGTGATGTTTTTTCACCAGGAATGCGTCGTATAGACTGGTGTGTAGGAAGAGCTCGGCGATTGTTTGGGCCGTGGTGCGGTGCGAACGAGAGAGCGCTTGAAATAACGCTTGCTACTTGTTCGCGGCCAGTGCTCTGCTAAGATGGCGAACCGATGTGTTTCTCCTTGTCAGTTCCTTCTTCAGTTTCATTGTTTCTTTGTTACTAACTCCTACTAGTTCAAGATGTTTTATCATCGCTCGGTTTATGGAACAAGCACGCCAAGTTGCTTTTCCTCGGTTTAGATAACGCTGGTAAGACCACTCTTCTCCACATGCTTAAGAATGATCGTCTCGCTACTTTGCAACCAACCTTGCATCCAACTTCAGAAGAATTGGCCATTGGTTCCGTGAGATTCACCACTTTCGATTTGGGTGGACATTTACAGGCTAGAAGATTATGGAAAGATTACTTCCCAGAAGTCAACGGTATTGTATTTTTGATCGATGCTGCTGACCCTGAAAGATTTGCCGAATCTAAGGCCGAATTGGAATCTTTATTCAAGATTGAAGAATTGAGCCAAGTTCCATTTTTGATTTTGGGTAACAAGATCGATGCCAACACTGCAGTTGGAGAAATGGAATTGAAGTCCGCATTAGGCTTGTTCAGCACTACTGGTAAGGACGCAGGCAAGTTACCAGAGGGCCAAAGACCAATCGAAGTCTTTATGGTTTCCGTTGTGATGAGAATGGGTTACGGTGACGGATTTAAGTGGTTATCTCAATATATTTAATAAACGAAAGAACACGATGAGGTAACTGAGAGAGAGTGCGAATGTAGAGCAGGTAGGTGCTATGATATAAGACAAACTAAAGGATCAGAGTAAAAAAAAATTCCAAGAGTATACTGCTTGTCAGAACATTAGCTACAGTTGAGCTCAATAAAGAGGAGAATGTGCAAATAAACCTCTGAATACAGTCGCCTAGCACTTTTTTGCAAGCCATTGAATCATTCTCTATCCTTTGTCTAACTCTTTAATCTCTTCCTAACCTTGTGGTGTTCCATTGGTGCTAAATCATGGAGAGAATGGAAATCCGGCATATAGACGCATTGCAACCTTCCACCGGACATGTCCAGACCAACTACACTACAATCCGAATCATACATCCCAACAGCTTCAATTGCGTATATGCACATACGAAGTGGCCAATGAATACTTCCCCATTCTCATACTTCCCTTATCCCTTTTTGCCCTTCTTCCTTTCTTCCTTTCTTCCTTTCTTCCCTTCTTCCCATCCTCCTGATGAAGCATCACTACATCGCGTCCTGCATACTAACACCCCATCGCAACACAAAAAAAATCCAAACTTTTCCCTCCAGCGTTTGCCTGCAGAAGTTTAGTAAGCAACTGTAGTAAAAAGCAGTGATTTAGGTGCAAGTAGTTTCATTTTCATCACTTTTAGAACGACAATGGAGGGTAGTAACAAGGGGCAACTTCACCCTGAACAAAAGAAATGGAAGGTTCCCAAGGGGCCAAAGCCAATCGCACACAAGAACAAGAACATGATTGGTCTTGGTAGAACTATTGCTAATCAAAGAAGAATGGAGAATTCTATCCAATATTTGCCTGACGGTGAAATGAGATTCACCACTGATAAGAGAGAAGCAGACTGGGTCAAGCTCAGATCAGTGACACAAGAAAATTCTCTTGATGAGTTCTTAAACACGGCCCAATTAGCAGACACCGATTTCACTGCTGAAAGAAACCAACAGGTGAAGATTATCAAGGTTGGTAACACTTCCGTAGTGAACCAGACTGGTCTTTTAACACAACAAGAAGCTCAAGATTTGAAGAGAAAGCATCAGGCTTTTGAAAACAAACTTACTATTCCCAGAAGACCCAAATGGTTCAAGGGTCAAGCCAAATTAGAGTTGGAAAGACAAGAAAACTTGGCCTTTTTAGAGTGGAGAAGGCAGTTGGCTCAACTTTCTGAGACCAACGATTTATTGTTGACCCCCTTTGAAAGAAATTTGGAAGTCTGGAGGCAGTTGTGGAGAGTCGTAGAGAGATGTGATTTGGTTGTTCAGATTGTAGATGCCAGAAATCCATTGTTCTTCAGATCCGTAGACTTGGTAGCGTACGTGAATCAGTTGGCAGATGCCGCTGAGGTGCCTGAAGAAGGTTCTGAAGACGCCGCTAGTTTGAAAGCAGGTGAGCCATTAAAGAAGAATTTGCTTTTAGTCAACAAGGCCGACTTGTTAACCAGAAGACAGAGAGTGGCATGGGCCGAATATTTCCACAAAATGAAGATCAATTTTGTATTCTTCTCAGCAGCTGAAGCCAACGAATTGTTGGAGAAGGAACAACAAGAGCTCGAAGAGCAGAGACTTGGAATGGAAAGAGAAATAAGTACTGGTTCGAGTGCAGAACAGGGAGAAGCGAAGCAAGAAAACGAAGACCAACAAAATGAGGAAGAGGAGGAAGAAGACGATGCCGTGAGAATTCTTAAGATTGAAGAATTGGAAAATCTCTTTATGTCTGAGTCACCAAGAACAGCCTCGCCAGACCGTAAGCTCCAAATTGGTCTTGTAGGTTATCCAAATGTTGGTAAATCATCCACCATCAATGCCCTTGTGGGATCCAAGAAGGTGTCCGTTTCTGCCACTCCTGGTAAGACCAAGCATTTCCAAACTATCAACTTGTCTGATGAGGTCATGTTGTGTGATTGTCCAGGTTTAGTCTTCCCTAACTTTGCATACACCAACGGTGAGTTAGTCTGTAATGGTGTCTTACCTATCGATCAGTTGAGAGAACATATCCCTCCTGTTTCCCTTGTTTGTCAGAGAATCCCTAAGCACTACTTGGAAGCATTGTATGGTATCCATATCCCAACCAAGAGTATACAAGATGGTGGTGATGGTATTCCAACCGCTGCAGAGCTTTTGAATGCCTACGCCAGAGCAAGGGGTTACATGACTCAAGGTTTTGGTAGTGCTGATGAACCAAGAGCCTCGAGATACATTTTAAAGGATTACGTCAATGGTAAGTTACTTTTCGTGGTGCCTCCACCAGTATTCAGATCAGAACTAAACGAGTGGGATTTAACCACCGTCGAGGAAGGTCAGAAGTTCAACGACTCCATCTACAACTTGGATTCTTTACCAGAATCTAGACGAGCTCAAATTCTCCAAGCTATACACAACAAGGGAATCAAAGAAGAAGACTTTGATTTAGCTATGGATTTATCAAAATTAAACTTCTCCCAGCATATCAGTGAAGAGTCTGCACATTTGACCAAGAATAGAAAGAATCAGGACAGTGTTCTATCATCTGGACCTAAGACTTTGTTCTATGGTGGTAGACAAGCTGGCTTGGAGAATGCAGGAAATGATTTGGATAGAGAGTTTTTCAAGATGGGTGGTGTTCAAGGAAAGCTCAGTACTCCATTCCACAAAGTTGGTTCTGGTGAAGGAAGTAAGAAACACGGAAAGAAGAACAAGAAGTCTGAAAAGAAGACTAGAGTCGTTGGTTACTAGACATTATTTACATCGTTTTGCATTAACTTTGCTGCATCTGGGTTTATAGGATTAAATATAATAACATATACAAGAGAAAGCGAAGTGTAGGAACAACATACACAAGGGAAAAAGAAAGAGAAAGAAAGAGAAAGAGAAAGAAAGAGAGAGAGAGAGATAGAAGCGCAGGGACAACGTAAACAAGAGAGAGAGAAGTGTAGAAAGAGTATTTAGCGGAGTATAGTACAGTACTCTGCCATTCAAAGCCAACTGACTTCACTCAAAAGAGTACGAAATGGACTGATGATGCATTCACCCTGTCAATCTCACTACAGTTCTACATAGTCTTGCTTCAGCTTGAATTACTCAATCGTTGTATATGAAATTTTACACTATATATACATAAACTAGTAAAGTCTGAAAGATGGACCCATGGTTGACTTAATAACCAAAGAACCAACGTTTTGCCAGTTCTTCTTCAATAAGGAAACCAAGAAGTTAGCGGACATCATGATTTGGTTAACCAAGACATCTTCTTCCATTTCAACGTTACCAATAGCGACGGCTAAACATAAAACCTTCTTCAATTGGAACTTGATGGTGGACTTAACGTCAACAACCTTGGAGTATAAGTCATCGTTGTGGGAAACTGGGGTTGGGAACTTACCAGCCTTGGACAATTGAGGACCTAACAATCTTGGGACTTGCTTGATCAAAACTTCGGAAGCAATGAAGGCGTTGTACTTCTTAGCCAACTTCTTAATAAGCTTCTTGTTCTTGTTCAACTTCTTCAAGTCATCGACGGACATGGCGTCAACACCAACAGACTTAGCTCTGTCGACATCGAAAGCATCACCAAAAATACAGATGGTCATGTTTGGTCTTGGGACTTGAGGTAACTTTAAAGTACCAGAGAAACGCTTATCTCTTTGAGGATCGTAGTTCTTTAAACCGACTTGTAATTCAACGGTTTCCAAGAAGTTTCTCTTCTTGGTCTCGTTGGAGTGAGCCAAAAGCTTTTGGACGTTTTCACGAACGTGAGTTGTGGTAATCTTAGACATTATTGATTAATGAATGCGTCTCCCAAAGAAATTGGTAAATTTAACTGATTCGACGAGGATACAGAAGAAGAAAAGAAAAAGGGAACAGTATGGTGGAAAGGAAGAGAGTTGAGTGAAAAATTTTGGTATGAGATGCACCGGAGGTGACAGTGAGGAAGAATTTTTTGTCAAGTGACACAAAGACAATAGAACTGCAAGGGAAGCAGGGTGCAGCGGTGGAGGGTGTAGGGCCAAAGCCCTACTGGTCACGTGCGAACACATATTGCAACCTTGTTGGGTTGAGCTAGACCAAGGTAGGTGGCATGGTAAGGCAAGCACTCCTCGGGAGCTCAGGGTATCTGATAAGGTGCAAGAAGCTGGTGGTGCATGCTATTTATCAATTCCGACTCGAGATCAGTCTTAGAACAGTGTGGTCCTTTCGTCGCATTTTCCTTCTTAACGAGCTCACTTCAGACTTTAGTACCGCTGAATGGCGCTGAGAAGCTAGGAAGAGTTAATCACTTTTACTGCTCAAGGAGACTATATAGGATTAGCATTTGTTTTGCTCTAGAATCCGTGTTTTCTGAGCTCTAAAATATCACAAGATCTAGTGCATAAATCTTACCGATCACTTTCTACACCCCCTGTGTTCCCAATGTGCATTTTGCACTTGGGCTCTCTATGCTATAATTTGCAGCCACGCCCACACGCTGGTTCAGTACCTCACGTCATAGCATTCAATCCCCCATATTCCGATACTACCCTGAAGAGCACTCCCATTGGGCCCTCCCCAAACAAATGGTACCGAACCCAGTCCATGTTGTCCACTTCCCCGCCTATACTACAACCTCTTGTTAGGCCCTTCATCCCAGATACTGTGCAGGAACTGCTCTCTCGATGTTTCTAATGATTTTCCTGCACACACGGACATACATATGTACGATGATGTCTACTCAAGCTGGCTTGATCTTCTACCTTTTACCAGTTTCCAAGGTTTTTCACTCTTCATATGAGTAGTATGTACGCTAGAGTTCGCTCAGGGTGCCTGGGGCTCCATGTTAATACCATTCCCAGGTCAATTGAGCTATCACGGTACTCGCAGAGACCTTCTGGAACACTCATGTTCCAATCCATTCGACATTACGCCTACGACGGAAGCAAGCCCGAATCTCCTCAAAAATCAGAGATAGCTAGGCTAGAAAAGATCACGCCGACGAGGCAAAAGATAAAAGATCAGAGGCATCATCATACCAAAAAAATTCAGCTAATAGATGAGAAATACGACATATTCAACGCTGACGTGAGACGCGTCGTTGATTTGGGCTGCGCACCGGGCCTCTGGATGAAGTATGCTAAAGATCGGATCCTATGGAACCATAGACTTCTGGAAGCTGGCTTCTGTGACGAAGGATTCATAGTAGGGCTTGATATCCTCAGTACTACTCCCCCTACGGGAACCTCAACACTCCAAGGGAACCTTATCTCGAAGTATTCAATGCAAAGGACACTTGATTTGTGCAAGGAATTGGCATACCGCCAGGAAGCTAAAAGGAATGAACTAGCTACACCTTTGAAAGAAGAAGTAATCGATGAAAACGGGGACTTAATTGAAACTGAAAATGATGTAGATACAACCTACTTTGGGAAGGAGCAAATTGATATCAACAATGAGCTAAAATTGAAGGAGTCGCGTGCTAATGTCGACTATAAGGTAGACTTGGTCCTCTCTGACCTCACGCTGACCCTCAAGCAAGACAGAGGATTTTGGAACAATACACAAACGAAGCCGTATCTTCGAATAGCTACAAACCCAAAGTTAATGCTGACGGTTAGAGATCAGACTAAGGCACCCTTTGATCTTGCGGACGCGGCGTTGGTTTATGCCATTAGGCTACTTAAGGAGAATGGTACCTTCGTGTTGCGAATGAACGCCATACACCCAGAAGATCCAGAGATAGAGTTGCTTACCTGGAGGCTCAGATCTGTGTTTAGACTGGTGGAATCGACAGAACATCTTGACTCATTCTCTGGTGTGGAGTTTTTCTTAATTTGCAAAGGAAAAGACGATTCCGTAGATGTGGTGGAAGCATTTTCATACAAGGCGAAACTTTAGATTAGCTTAATGTTAAAAATGACTTACACCGAGAGAAAGACAATTACCATAGACTATTTGTACATATATTTAACATAAACACCAACAGTTATCTGCTACATGGCTATTTTCAAACTATCTTATCTTAATCCTTTTATTTTGTATTTAGGTTACATCTGTATATTATTCTAAGTATATCAAGAAGCTGGTGGGTCAACCTAGGCTTCTTCTTCTTCTTCCTCTTCCTCCTCTTCTTGTTCTTGTTCTTCAGCAGCTTCCTCTTGCTCGTCTTCTTCCTCTTGTTCTTCATCTACTGTTCCATTTTTCTCCACTAAGTCTCCATTAGCCTTATCCTCACCAAGATCAATCAAACTTTGTTCCGCTTGTGGAAGTTCCAACCTGTCTGCAATTCCACTTTTACTTTTGTCACCTAATTTTTCCTTCCAAAGCTTCAATACTTCTTCAGTCTTTTCATCTCCAGATCCATAATTCTTCCCAAAGAATGCAGCTTCAGTTAACCTATCACTCTTGATCAATAATGCACGACACTTTTCAATGTTACCAGTTAACCACCATGCTTGCCATGCTATGTTATATTTACCCTTTAATTCAGCAGCTTCTGCTAATTTACTTAATTCTTTATGATTGTTTGTGGAAGATAACAACAATAACAAGGAATTATAGTCATTGGCTAACCAATAGCAGTCAAGAGCCAATTTGATTTGCCATTTTTTCATTGCTAATTCGGCCAATTTTTTCCACTTTGCCGAATTGGCAATAGCCAACGAAGCGTTATCTTTTTGATTTTCTACGAGTAATTCATAGGCCTGTCTTAAATTGTTGGTAGAAAGACTTATTTGGAATTTTGAGTCAAAGTCTTGTGATAATGAAAATGACAAAGTAAGGTATCCCAATTTTTCAAAAAATCTCGAGATTTGGTTAGATTCAGTCTTAGAGAAAGATTGAAGTGTATTACGGTAATCATCCAGCAATTCTTCTAAAGAAATTGATGAGAGATCTGGGATGTCTTCACCACTTTCTTCATCCACCAAAGTCTTAGTAGCATATTGTTCAAAGTCCCCTCTCATCACTAAAGTTTGTAATTCCAAAACTTCGGCGTTAACGAACCAAGAAATTACGTTGAATGATTTGTCAATGAGATATAATTTACCATCAGTTCCTGCCTTATATCCAATAATGTAGTATTTATGGTCGAAATGTCCCAAATTGATAACTTCTCCACCTACAAAGTAGTTCAATCTGTTCGATGTGGCTGTAGTGTAAACGAAAACATCACCAATAAATTTACCTGATAATATTGATTCTGAGGTCGGTAAAGTGTACAACACGTCAAATGTATCTTCTGCACCTTCTTCCACGTCAAGAGCGTCTTCGTTCAATGCGGCTTCAAATACAGAGTGATCATAGCTCAAGAAATAAGTTTCATCTGCAGATGAGCTACCACTCTTTTCATCTGAGGAAGATGAACTCCTGGTTGTCAAGATAGCAACCAATTCTCCGTTGTCACTCCAGACAACCTCTTGAATATCATCATCCAAGTCAACTCTTCTGACCAACTTACCGGAGGTCCAATCGTAAAATGATATACAACCTTCCAGCTTAATACCTAACAAGGTACCAGCAAAAATTTTATCAGCTTGATATATTAAATCGATTGTCAATGTTTCTTCAAAGTTTTTGAAAACCTTAACCAGCGTCAAAGACTCTCTAATGGCAAATGTACAAGAATTAGAATAATCGCTGGTGTTCCATACGAAATCAACAGCTCTTCCATAGGATTTAGATCTCCAAGACAAAGCAGTGTAAACAATGTATTCCCCGTCACCGCAAACAGTGGCATATCTTCCGTTAGGAGAGTGTTTTAAAGATTGTGGATAGATTTCAATGGATCCCAAGTCTCTTTGTTGCAATGGGAGTTGTTCACCATCCTTTAACCCTTCGGTTAAAGTTGGCTTAATGACGGATTGGAAGATTTCTGAATTCTTACCGTAGATCAACTTCATATTTGAATCCATAGAGAATAAGGGCTTCTCACTACCCAACTTCAAGATGGCAAACCCAGCATCACAACCAATGGCCATAACGTTTGATTTTGGTAACAATCCACAACACCAGACTCTTTCCAAGCCGTAGTTGACGGATTTTTCCAATTTGAAAGTGTTGGAGTTCCAAAACTTGACAGTTGAGTCTTCAGACCCGGATATGATGATAGGCAACTCTGGGTGGAAAATGGCAAAGGAAACGTTTGCCAAATGGCCCTCCAAGGTAGCTACACATGATTTGGTCTGGTAATCCCAAACCTTGATAGTCTTGTCGTCAGACGTAGAGATCAAGTAAGGCTTGTCAGCTTGTGGATAATAGTCGACCCAGTTGACACCTCTCAGGTCGTGAGCAACGAGAGAGAAATTTGGCTGCGATGATCCGAGAGACCAAACTTTAACGGTACGATCCAAACATGCTGAGGCAAAGGTGGAGGGGTCCTTAGGGTTGAAGTTAACAGCCATGACAAAGTGTTGATGGCCTTCAAACACTTGTTCCAACTTCCAGTTCTGTTCCCAATTCCACAATTTGATGGTCAAATCATCCGAACACGTCAAAACGTATGGTTTGGAAGGGTGCACAGCGATATCTCTTACATAGTCTGGGTGTGCCTCCCATTGAGCAACCTTTTCTCCAGTCAGGTAGTTGTATACTCTTACATTATAGTCGTCCGATCCCACAATGATCCAGTTTTTACGTGCAATGAACTTCCCAGTTCTCACTGGTAACTCGGTTACTTGGATTGACTTCACCAAGGTGTTTGTGGCGTATGACCAGATTTCAATTTTCCCGTCATATAACGTGGTCAAGATCCACGGTTCCAGGGGGTGGAAATCGATCCCCTTAACACGGTCTGACCGGGTCAGGAACTGTTTAGTGACATCCAACTTCATGTTTGCGAATTTGCTAGCTTCAATTGGCTGTTTGTTGGCTAGATACTACGTGTAGAGACTGGGGTGGACGTTTTCTTTTTTTTTCACCGCTTTCGTGTTTTGGTGTAGTTCGGTTTATTAGGAGATTGACACGAATCTTTTGGCAATGCACGACGGTTTATATGCAGGCCACGAAGGTCGGTGGGTTAGAGGGGGTAGTGATTCGGCACGGAAATGGGTGCTGGTGGATGTTTGTGGTATGTATGGGCAGCTGGTGGTGTGATTTGGACGGTGTGGGTGTTTGTTTGGTTTTCGAGGAGCTGGTTTGGGTGTGTTTTTGAAGTGTATTTGGTAGAAGGTTGCAGAGAAGAGCGTGTATGCAGGACGATTTATAGAGTAGAGCTTTTCGCAGCCATTGAAGAAGGTTGCACGGTGGTGGTGGTAGAAGGGAGAAGGTTTCACTTGCGGAGCTACTGAAAGTTGCTGGTTATTGCTGAAGGTTGCTCAAGATAGAGAGCATGCAAATCGACTTGCAAAGGCACAGGGCCATACAGCTCGTTCTGGCCCTACACATCCTACTTCCTACAATTCCACTCACTCTAAAGTGTCTCTTGTGTTTGATTCTCTACAACTCCACTCACTCTAAAGTGTCTCTTGTGTTTGATTCTCTACAACTCCACTCACTCTAGTGATCTCTTATATTTGATTCCCCATCTGATTTGCTAACTTCTCAATAAACACTCTCGATCCCGTCTCTTCTTTCCCTATATACTTTCTCCAAGTACTGCACTTCAACTAGATGCTTCATCCATTTCTCCACAAATGCCTTGTTGGAAAACTTCTCTACCAAGTGTGCTCCGTTTGACCTCATATGGTCCAACTCTCTGTCCCCTACTAAGCTTGGCTCATTGACGAGGATTTCCGTCAACAATTGGGAGAATGTTGGGAACCTATACTTGTCATCAAATACCAAGAACCCGTTTGTTTTGCTTCTCTTACCGCTGAAATCTGGGTCCAATTCGTCCTTGAAGAAGAACCCGGTGTTATTTCTCCATGCTGGGTGATCTTCCACGTCTTCTTTATACCCAGTTACTATGTCCAAGTAAGGGCCAGCAGAAGCATGCACAATGGGTATAACTCCGTTATTAAGGTACTCCACCACTCCAATACCAAAATGCTCGTTCCACATAGCATTGAGACCATACTTGGCCTTCGAAAGCCACTCCAACACCTCCTCGTACGAACAATCCACAACAAACTTGACGTCCAATTCTAAATCCTTAGCCTCCCTCTGAAGAGTCTTCAAAGTAGATGTATCCTCAGGAGTACGACAAGAGCCAAGGAAGACGAGCGATGGTATCTTTCTAGAGGAGACACGCTTGTTTTCTTTGAGAAACTTCGCATACTCATCCAAAAGTAAGGAATGCCTCTTCTCTGGACGGAACTGTGCTATGTAAAGCATTATGTTAGAACGACCTCCTCTTGCTAGAAAATCATCATCACCAGAACCACCACCGGCTCCAACACCTGCCAATTTCCTAGCAATGCTTTTAGGAGACTCAGACAACAGTCTGCCTTTTCTTGACTTAGAATCAAGATCTCCACATGGCGGGTAGCATATTTCTACGCACTTTTCCATCCTGATATTTAATCTCCAGATGGAAGTGATATGGTTTTGAGTCCAAGTACCGTTAGTCAATGTCACATCTACCAAGGACCCCAAATAAACATAAAGGTAGTACAAGATCAGCCAGTAGCACAACTTCCCAAACTCCTTAAGATCTCCGAAGGACCATTGGAACCATTTCAACGACTGTAAACCGAAATCTGGGAACTTCAACTTGCGGAACATCTCCAATTGAAGAACAGGATAGTGTACATAGCTTAAAATTGGGCATTTCAATATAAGAGATACAAAAAAGTACGATCCAGGGAGTCCAATGGTGTCTACAAATATATCTGGAGAAAGTTCGTACATGGCTTCCAATGCAAGAGCACCCAGTCCCAAAAATTGTCCCAAGATAGTGAAGTGTTGCCAGTAGCTAGCATCGATGAAGGTACCGTATTTCCTCAAGTAAATGAAAACAATCCGCTTCTCATCAGATCCAAACTCAATATCAAACTTGGCCCTAACCTTGGCCAAGATTTCCAACGGAGCAGCTTCTACATTGGTAGTATAGATGGCAGCAATGTTGTTGTCTCCGGCCATAAGTGTTGCCTGAACCGCTTGCCAAAGTACCCTTTCACCTCCACCACCGTTATTGGCGTATGGGTGGAAAAATCCGTAAATCAAGTTACGCTGTGGATCGTCATGGCCCCTTCTCTTCATAGCGTCCATGAATTCGTTGTTCTCATTCTTCCAGTCCTTGGTAGGCTCAATTTTAATTTTATTGTTCACGAAGTTGGTGTAGAAGGAAGGCTTTGCAGAAGCAAGAATGAGTCTTCTTCTAAAAGCAGATCTCTTGTTTCCCACGCTAAGATAAATAGGCTTCGAGTAGTCAACCACCTTCTGAATCTTAGTTCTCCAGTTTTGAGGTGGGACCAAGAAAAGTCTTGGAAGAACGGCCACTAAGACCTGATAAAGGCCGTATAGAACAGCGAAGACTACCAATAAGAAGACAATCATAGCTAATGCACCTCGATATTCCTATTCTTTATGAGCCTTTTTACCACTTAACCTTTTAAACTTACCAGTGAAGTGGACAGCCATAACCTTTTAAACAGATGAGAATGCAAGCTTGTATGCAGGCTTATCTAAGGTCGGGAAGTTCCGAGGACGACGATGCCCTGATTATTTTTTGGCTAGCGATCTTGTCGATGGAAAGATAAGGGAACGGAAGACAGAAGAAGAAAAAAGAAAAGAAGATAGAAAAGAAGATGGAGGTAGGTGCGGAGGGGAGATGAGTAATGCCTCAGTATCGCAGGGAATCTTGCTTGCATACGAGCTGTGGGTATATGTGGTATTTCAATGGATACCATATACGAATGGTAGACATCATATTTTCTGCGAGCAAGTGAGATGGCCACAATAGACATGGCCCCTGTGCACAGGGGCCATTGACATAGGTTGCTGACTCCATGTACACGCTCTCTCTTTCCAAACGATCACAGTTGAGTGGTTGTACCAATTCTCAATCCTATTTCGATAACAGAATGCTGATTGTAGGTGCAATATTGTAAAACAGTACTACTTTGGTAGAATCTGAACACCAGACAAGTAACTACAGTTGCACAGTCTTTCTTTCCGAATAGAGATTGCATACTGGAATTCCTTCTCCACAACCCACGCTAGACCCAAAGAACCAAACACCTCTTTACTGCACCTTCATTCTGCTACCTAAACACACTCTTTCACTAAGGTAATATCTTTCCTGCACTTACCCTCATTACGAGAGTGATTTCTGGTTGCATCGTGTTAAGCCGCAGCGCCGACGGCTGCAAATTATACAAGTCGAATTCCAAGCAAAGAGGATGTCTAGCTTGAAACTGGGCCAGTTGGTCACCTAGATGCAAGATGTTGCATAACTTCCGCCCCCTCTAACCTGCCCCACTTTATTGGGAATAAGGGGTCTTCATCAACTGGCGGAGAGGAGTGTAGCACACGGGAAGTGTTTCATCAGACGCACTCACATCAGTTCCGTACGTCAGTTCCGTGCAACGCTTTATCAACTAGACTTCTTCTTTAATGTATCTTTTTCTGTACTTACACATACCAAAAGGGGCCCCACAGTAAGTGCCCCGAAGCCCAGCCGGTAGTTTCAAGCTTGATTTGACTTCCCATACTATCGAGGAGAAGATATGCGAAAACAAACTGAGCTGAGCATGGCCCGCTTACCAGCAGCAATAACCACCATTGGCCATAATACAAGGTACAAGGTACGCCAAACAAGAATCTATACCTTGCGGATGCGAAATACAATTGAACCAATGTTTAATGCCCATACTCCCACCTTTCTGTACATTCTCAGCTCGTAGCAACCGAACTGTCTCTTAACTCATACCATCGTCACAACGTGATCACTTCCCAGTCCACACACCTTTTTTTTTTTTTTTTTTTTTTTTTTCACTAATTTAGTCCCGATTGAGTTAAATTGGACGCGTAGGGAAGCACCAAATAAGAATAATTTTTTATGGGCCATCACCATAGTGTTTCACTTCTTTCTTTTTAGATACGCTTATACAAGCTGGCCAGGAAGCATTATTTTCTTTAGGATTCTAAGCTGTGTAGTGAATTTTGCCGATATACCAAGGCCAGACAAGAAAAAAAAGACGAATTTTGAACCTTCGAAAGAAGAAGAAATTTTTACGAAAGAGAAAATCATCCAATTGAAACAAGGAGAGCAATCCCTCTATCAATAAAGAGAACAAACATATACTATCTTTTCTCCCTGGTCTACCTAAGTCAAAGCCCCTTAAATGATGCTTCGTGAGAACCCCAACACTTCCAACTTGTCGACCACTTCTTCTCCAAAGAACGAAGATGGTTCGGCCGCTCCTCTCAGACAGGAGCCTAAGACTCCATTAAAAAAGGAGGACTTAGAGAAGATCGCCAAGCAGTTGAAACACAAACTTTCCAAGGCTTCGATCACTGCCAAACAGTCGTTGTCGCCCTCTTCCTCCAACAGTAGCATCTCCAGCCACAGCGGTGGTATTAACGTTGCCGGCAGTTCCAATAAAGTTTCTAGTTTGTCGTCGCCCTCGCGCCGGATGAGTCCCTTAAAATACATGGTTCGGAAACTGAGCAGCAGTGGATTACTTCTAGGATCTTCCCCTAATGGCAAATCCCCAACTCAGATGAAGACTCCTGCCGCCGTGTTTTTGTCGTCCTCCCCCTTGAAGAACTCCAGCATCAACATGAACGACGACGAGTTGGACTCACCCACCAAATCGTCAAGAGCGCAGAACCATAACTTCAACTCCTCGCCAATCCAGCAGGATGATGAACCGCGTATGGTTTTAGAGTCAGTGGCTCCCTCCCAACCAAGCACTCCACCTAGAAGTTTCTCGTCAATGTTGAAGCCCTCGCCGGTCTTGCAATCTACTACGACACCCAATCTGAAAAAGTTGAGTATAAACACCCAGCACAACGCTTCATCCTCGGGCAGTGGGAATCCTTTGCTTCGTACGCCAACCCAATCTTCTGCTAACTTACATGGTGACAACGAAGGGGCAGACTTGTTGATGTACTTGGCCACGTCCCCATCGCCAGCAAAGCCTCCGCCAGCCAGTTTCATGGGAGGCAATGGTACCCCTGGTGGGCCAAGGATTAGCACAACAGTAACAGCAGCTACTCCAACCCAAGGCGGTTCACAAGGTCAGCACCAATCATCGCAGAGTCACTCTCATTTGAATGCCAGTCAGAACCAGAACTCAACATCACATTCCCACTCACACTCCCACTCACATTCCCATTCACACTCCCTCTCATCAAATAACAATTTTGTCGCCCCAGCTCCACCCTTGACTCCAAAAAGACCAATAGTGACCTCAGCAAGAACTCCACAGAACAGACAAACCCCGCTGGTGAATTTATTCAACGCCCAGCAGACAAACGGAAACAGTAATGGACTCCCATCTTCAGGGCTTATGTTGACGCCAGCTGGTTTCAATATGAGTGACTACTTCAACTTCTTCACTCCCCTGCCGGGTGGTGGCAGTCTCGGCCACAACTTAAACAAGAACTTCTTGAAAACGCCAGACTTCAATGGTGTTCACGCAAACTCCAATCTTAACCCTAGACAGAAAGTAGATGGAAAGATGATCAATTTCGACAAGGTTGGGCTCTTCGGAGGAAACAATGAACAAAAAGAGCAATAAAATGCTCTCCAGTTCTCATTCAATAAATTTCATGCCCTACCAACAGAGTTACTGAGCTGTACTCCACTCTTCTAATTTCAATTGTTGGGCGTCTTCAGGAAACTCTCTTTACTTCTTCACTTTTCATTCGATCTTTGTACAATAGCATTATTAAGTAGACATTAATAATTTAGAATTTGGAATAACAATGTAGACATAATTACAGAGCGCCTCTTAGTGGTACTATAGCAAATTTATATTCTATTTAAATAGTCAGCTGGTTTATATGTTTAACCAAAGCAAATCTTAAGTGGTACCGTAGCAAGTTAATATTCCATTTAACTAGTCAACTGCTTTATATGCTTACCCAATGAAAAAGATAAATGTGGATTTGGGATGGAGCAAACTCCTTTGAAATCACAATAATTGCACTTTGAAAGGTCGTCAACAGGCTGTGGTGCCCTCGACCCGTTCCAAAAACTGATAGAGTCTAGCAAATTTTGATTGTAAGTTGACTCATTGAATTCAAACTTGACTTCACGGAAACTTTCTCCACCATAGTGGTAATCGACAGTAACCAAAGGTTTCACAAGATAGGGCAGAAGTAGTGAATAAAATTGACCAGATCGAGCAGCAAAATAGCGAAGTGTGAGCGGAATTTTCCACCTCTTAAGTAAAGGTTCAACTAACTCGGTATACTCAAAATCAGGGTCCAGCTCAATCGGGCTTTTATCAAGTAAAGCTGCCAAGTCGTAATACACAGCTTTGTCACTATGTTGCAGCAAGTATTTTTCTTTCACGAAGTCGTCATATTCCTTGAACCCAATTGGTTCCCCATTGGCTAATTTCTTGAAGTCTTCGAACAAATAGGAGCTGCTAGTTCGGAGCATCTTTATCACAGTTTTAAGCCCAATGGGCTCATCGATGTTACAATGCCGCCTCGTTGCATTTTCCAAAAGCATTCTGTATGAACTAGTATTGCTCATGATGTCCAAGTAGTCTTTGTAGCAAGATACTTGTTGTTTGGCGGCGTTAACCACAGAAAGCTGGGGTGGGATTTGCTTCCTAGACCTTGTCTTTACATCGGTGATTTTGAGAGTATAAGCATTCTTGAATTCACCATGAACGTATTCGCCAACCACCGCCAAGAATTTCTCCAAATCAATCATTGGAAGTCCATTGATCTCCTTTTCGGTTTCGAATCTTATCCAATTCTCTATATCAGTATACAACGCAAACTCGGTCGAGTTAGAGTCTGTCGGGACAAGTTCTATTAAGTCTATAATCCCACTGACTAGAATATCTTCTTTTCTCAAGGTCTCAGCTTTGGTCACCATGCCCTGACTATCGAGATTTATATAAGAGTGCACAAGTACCTCTCTGGCATGGCTCATAGTGAATAAGGAATACAATTTCTCCATTATGTCATGAACCCAAACTTCAGCTAGCTTATTAGTATCCTCTGAACCGTCTATCAATTTCAATATAGCTTCGTTGTTTGCCTGTAGTTCCTTTAACCTTTCTGGCTCGGCCGAGAGGGCATGTTCTTCCTCTAGCAGCATCCTAGCCTGAATTAACAGTACACGCCGAAGAATTTCTTGCGTTACCGTCGATACGTCTATTATGGGGTGAGCTTCTAGTTCAAGTACCTCGTGGTGTTTCTTTCCCTTCTCGATCTCCACTGTTGACTTCCTTTTCTTGGAGCCCGCGTAGATGTCGTAGTACTCTCGCAATTCACACCACAGCTTAGTCAACAACTTGGTGACTGATATTCTGGGATTCTCCACTATGGACTTATCCTCGTTATTGTGAGTGTAAAAGTAGTACGGTGAACCAGTGACGGACTTGGGCTTCACCAAAGGTAGTCGATCGTTCTCGGTTAGCTTAAAGTTCGATACCAAGTCATGTATTTTCCGTTTCGTGTTCTCGTCCATTTCGTTTTTGATGCTCTTCTTTCTGTACTGGTTGATAGAGCCACTTTTTGACTCAATTTTGCTCTTTTCTATTATAAATCGATTCAATAGCTCATTAGCCTCGCTTGTTGACTTCTCACTAGAGCCATTCAGTCGTTTGGTAGCCCTAGCTATATTCGGTATGGGTATCTTCAAATTTATCACCTTCGTGTTGACTGCACCAGCAGTAGTGTACAGTCTGAAAAGGTACCGGTTCATTTAAGTTCACAACAATAACCAAAGAGATAACGAAGAAAAGAACGTGTGGAGTAGATCACCAAAAGTTGAAATCGGATTTCGCATCCACAGGCAAGAAGAACTCAAGCAGGTGAATACCTTGGCTATTTTACAACCGAAACCACAAATTGAGGCAGGTTTTGGTCCACTCCCTTACGTAAGGCAACAGAAGCGGGGTTCTAAAGTAGATACAGTATGATATATCACGCAATGATAAGAATGCTCCTCCCTTGCTGTAAAACCCTTCCCGTTTTGATTGTGCTGCCAATCTTGCTGCAAAAAAAAATAATATAAATAGAGCACGAAATCACCCAAGGGTTGCTGAGAAATTTTTAGTAATTAAGAAAACAAAAGGAAGGTTTCAAGTGAAGGGATGATAAATTATCAGGAACATTGACTTGCCATGAGGTATTGAGGTTGAGTGTGTGTGATTTCTTTCACTTGATCGCTTCACTTCACCTCATCTAAAGCACACCGAGTTTACTAGTGTGTATATAAATATCACGGAACATAGTGAGAGAAATGTCATGATGCAACAGAAAATTACAAATAGAATTTTTAAGGAGAAGAGCAGTGCTTTATTTAGCAAAGAGCTACTCAGCAGCCAAGAATTACTTATGTCCGCATTAGCCGAACAAAAGCCAGTGGTGATAGATGAACCAAAGACGGAGGCTGCAGTGCCAGATGTTTCAAGCTTAAAATTGGAATCTGAAGGCGGTGCTGCCCCAGAAGATGCCGACGGTGAAGAACCAACTGCATCTGCTTCAAAATCGAAGAAAAAGAAGAAGTCGAAGAAGAAGAAGCTTGCTTCTATCGATAGCAGCTACCCAGATGGTGTCTTCCCAGAGGGTCAGTGGATGGAGTATCCACTTGAGGTAAACTCGTATCGTACTACTGATGAAGAAAAACGTTACTTAGACAGGCAGAAGAATGATTATTGGCAAGATTTCAGAAAGGGTGCAGAAATCCATAGAAGGGTTAGACACAAGGCACAGTCGTCGATTAAGCCTGGAATGACCATGATTGAGATTGCAGACCTTATCGAAAATGCAACCAGAAGTTATGCAGCCGCAGATCACACGAAGACGGCAGGTATTGGATTTCCAACCGGTCTTTCGTTAAATCACGTAGCTGCCCATTACACCCCTAACGCAGGTGATAAGACTGTATTGAACTACGAAGATGTGATGAAAGTTGATATCGGTGTGCATGTAAATGGGCATATCGTCGATAGTGCGTTCACTTTAACTTTCGATGACAAGTACGACTCCCTCTTACAAGCTGTAAAGGCAGCAACCAATGCTGGAGTTGAGGCATCAGGTATTGATGTTAGACTTAACGATATTGGTGCAGCAGTGCAGGAAGTTATGGAATCATATGAGTTGGAGCTTGATGGTAAGTTATATCCAATTAAGTGCATCCGTAATCTTAATGGACACAATATCGGAGATTTTGAAATTCATTCTGGTAAAACCGTACCAATTGTTCCTAATGGTGATATGACCAAGATGGAAGAAGGTGAGACATTTGCCATTGAAACTTTCGGATCTACAGGTGTTGGTTATGTCGATTCTGTAGGAGAATGCTCTCATTATGCCTTGCACAAGGGTAATCACGATACTTCTAGATTACCAACAGGAGCCAAGACATTGTTGAATACGATCGATGAGAATTTCGGTACGTTGCCATGGTGTAGAAGATACCTTGACAGAACAGGTGCTGATAAGTATTTGCTTGCTTTGAACCAGTTGGTCAGAGCTGGAATTGTTGAAGATTATCCACCATTAGTCGATAAGAAGGGATCGTACACTGCACAATACGAACATACGATTTTACTCCACCCACACAAGAAGGAGGTTGTTTCTAGAGGTGATGATTACTAGATCCAAAACAAAGTACCCTTGAAGGAAAGAATTGATACTTTCTTCAAGTTGTTCGTTTACATTGGGACAAGAGTTTGGAGCGGGATCGTAGGAGCGGCATAATGTATATATATAAAATGTATGAGATCAGACAAGAGAGTAAAGTGTCGAAACTAAACAGTAAGGCACTTCATTGTGTAGCGTTGATGAAAGCCTAAGAGCCAAAATGTATGCTTGTAGAAATAAGGAAACAGGGAATGTTTGAAATAAGGTATTAGTCATATATGCAACCGTAGGAAGATCTCATCTGAGGACGGGCTAAAATGGTTAGAGGAGTGATTGGTAAAGATTAACGAGAAGGAGATAAATTCCATGAAGATAGGACAGCTACCTCAACAGGCAACGGTGAACGACTGCAGTACAAGACACACCCAGGCAGAGTAGTTAAACATACTAAAGCACTAATGGAATCCAAAAGAAACTACTTTCATCTCGCACACTATACTCCTCAAAAACATGGCACATCCGTTGCACAAAGTATACCCACCGGTACCTTGAACCTATCCGCACTCTGTGCACTATCCATACTTCGTACCTTATTCATACTACGTACCTCATCCATACTCTGTACCCATCCATACTACGTACCTAATCCATACTCTATTCCTTATCCTCCGCACCTCATCCATACTCTGTACCTAATCCATACTCTGTTCCTTATCCTCCGCACCTCATCCATACTCTGTACCTTATCCGACCCCTGTCCAAATCTATCAAACGTCTTGTGAGGTAACCAAACGGCGCAGTATGCACTCCCGTGAAATAATATTCTGACGTGCATTGCTCTTTGTATTATCAGACGCTGGGGGCGTGCGCTTACCACCACTGTGCTTTGATTTGAAATGCGGGAAGTGTTCACTATTTCGTTTTCAAAGAAAAAAAAACCGAAAACAATTACGTTTACAACTAGGCCAACAGATAGTAGGCTTGATACTAAGAATTAAAAGAAGAATAATAATAATTGTATAATGGAAATCAGTCCTAGTGTTTTAGAGTTTTCAGGTATGTAATATGGGAACAGAATAAGACGAATGCCACCCATATGGGAGCCTCGTTTAGGGGCAAGGATTTGGACCATGGAGTAACTGGAGTATCTTTAGTGTGTGCCACACTGAGATTGAGGGGGGAGGGCGCTTATCTTCCCTTCCACTCCAGGTATGGCCACCATCTCTCGTCTTTGAGACGAATTACTGATGATGCACCTCGCGATATCACTCTTACCATCACTGCTGCCTCCTTGAACGCGATCTATCTCGTTACTTGTGGTTGCCGTAGCTTGGTTTGCTTTTTTTTCTTGTTTTTGCGTATCCTCATTTTTCCTTAATGTGCGCCTATGCGTCCGCGCCATTCGTACGGAAAAGGGAAGGGAAACGCAGAAAACAATCACTAAAAGCGATGATGTGGTGGAAAGTTCAGTGATGCCGTGGAGCAAATTGCCCGAAGTTCAGTAATGTGATGGAGCGGCTAACATGAACGTTCCATAGTGTGATCGCTTGAACGGTGGGGTTTAGCGTGGGTGTTGTTTTTGCTTTTGGGGGTTGCTATGCTCTTTTATTTCCTCTTCTGATTACTAACTATCACCTTTAGGCTCCTTTACCCAGCCAACCACTGAGTACCTTTCTTTGACAAATAACTCAGATATCCCCTTGGCCTACAAGGTGAAGACCACCGCTCCAAAATTATACTGTGTTCGCCCAAATGCCTCGATAATCGAGCCTGGTGCCACCGTCAAGGTGTCTATCATCTTACAGGGATTCGCCCAACCATTGCCAGCGGATTACAAATGCAAAGACAAGTTCCTCCTTGTATCGTTACCATGCCCAGATTTATCAGACAGCAGTAAAGTATCAGAATCTTGGTCGCAATTAGAAGCCCAATATAAGGATCAAATTGTATCCAAAAAGTTGCGTGTGAGCTATTTAATTGGCCCAGTATCAGACCCCGACGGCCCAGCCATTATCAGATCTAGTAATCCAGATGTTTCTGGAATCAACGGGCCTTCCAAAGATACTCACGTTGCTTCCGATTTACAGAAGGAATTGGATGAATCAACTTCAAGAATTAATAACTTATCAGAAAAATTGGATTCCAATGAGAAGACTTCTTCATCAACATCTACTGCTACAGCCGAGCAATCTGTCAGTGGTTTCTCTATCCCATTTGCAATTATCCTCATTGTGCTTGCTTTCATTTTAGGGTGGATACTCCTTTAGGAGCGATTTTTGAGATACAGAGTGTGATTTGAAAGAGAGAAAGTGAAAGAGATATTGTAAGTTACGGGAATACGAGAGACTGAAAGAAATTTTAGTGTATGTTTAAAACAGATTTTTTTGAGATAGTGGATTGTTCATTTTAGTTTAATAAAGATTAGCTTTAATAAAGAAGTAACCTTTGTGAAAGAGATGTAGGGTAGAAATGCAGATAAGCTGTGTGATGTAAGTAAGTAAGTAAGTAAGTAAGTAATTAA